CCCATAACGCCGCCAACTAGCACGCCAAACAGATGCCAATACTGGGTCCAGGCAATGAAAATGTCTCGCAGACAGACCAGATTGAATTGCATGATGAGCGAATCAAAGCTGGAGACATAGTTGAACTGTTCACATTCGCTGCGACCGCCCGAGCTCTCGTCCAGCACATAGCACTGGTTATCCGAGATGCTGTAATTGGAGCTGGAGCTGCTCAGATAGCTGGTGTCGCAGGAGAATTCCGTGCGTGGATACAGCTCGGGCGCGGTGAAGATGATGCAGGCCATGAACCATGCGGCGGGTATTTTGCAGAGGAAGATGATAAGTATGGTGCGCAGTTGCCAAATGCCAAAGTTGCCGACCACATCGCCAATGATATCGCTGCTAGGACCTAATGGAGTTGCTGCTGCTGCGGCTAATCCCCCACGTCCATCCTTGGGGCCGGCATGTGAGATGTGTCTATGCGATAGCTGGGGGCTGGACATGGGCGAATGACCGCCGACCGCCCGAATTGTGGACGCCTGATTTACCATTTTCCGAACACCGACCTAGAGGCACATTTCACGCTTTAGCCACGTATCGTTGAAGCTCTGTGAATGACAAATCGAATCGGCGACAATTTCCATCAGTTGCTGTGCGTGGCACATTGTGTTCATTTATTTATTTTATTTATGGATAAATATTAACATACGATATACTCTAAAAACATTTGTCTACCCACACACACACCCTCTCAATCGCCACTCAATTGAAATCAATTGAAAGCGGTTACAGCTGAAATCAGTTGACTTTCCATGTCGGACGACGGACGAGAAACGACTGACGGAATTGAATATCATGCAAAATTCATCAAATTCCTGTGGTTCGAAATTTGAGCGACGATTTTTCTTTTGGGCAAAGTCAAGCGTAAAAATTTGTGGGCACGGATTTAATATGCACTATAAACAATTTATAAAGCAAAGGAATTATTTATAAACCTACAAATATAAAAGAAAAACACTTTAGTGTATATCTTAGAGTTTCGTAAGCCTACAAATTTAATTACCACAATTAGTTGAACATTCTTACACCACATAAAGTAATTTTTTTACTCATATAGAGGTACCCTCTATATATATATATATATATTCAATCAATCATGGAATGTGTAACGCATTAAAAATATATCTTTGAGATATAGTATATATGGTATATATATATTTGATTAGTATAAATAGGCGAGTCTATGAAGCTAAGTATGTCCGTATGTTTTTCTTCACTCTCTCTCTCTCTCTCTCTGTCTCTCTCCCTCTGTCTTACTCTCTCTCTCTCTCTTTCTCTCGCTCTCTCTCTCTCTCGCTCTCTCTCTCTCTCTCTCTCTCTCTGTCTCTCTCTCTCTCTCTCTTTCTCTCTCTCTGTTGCTATGCAATATCGTTTTTGATTTAAAACGCATTTTTGAGAAAACGATTAAGAGATTTGGTTTCGGCTTGATCGCGCCACTATACATATCATGGATCTGACATACTAAGTATATTAAATTAAGCTCTTATATTCAAAATTTTAAAGTGTTTTTTTTTTTTTCAAGATATTTTAAAGAATCTCACCAGCTTTAAGCTCAGCTAGGCTGATTAATTTAGAAAAATCTACATCAGATATATTGGCAACAATTAGTTGGATTTAAAAAAATTAATTTGTATGCATTGAAAACTGCCACACAAGTGCCATATGTCTGCAAGGGTATTTAATGCTGTGTATTTTGTGTTTTCTTTAGTTGCTTGGTTTTTTTTTAATATTGATCTGGATCTACCACAATCTAAAAAAAACTTAACAATTTCTACCTTATATGTTTCATTTTTTCTTCTTTCATTTTATTTCTTGAAGCGGCTTATCAATTTATAAAGAGAAATGACATATAAATCGGCTTTATCGCGTTTATGATTATTGATTATAAGTCAGCTTTATTGTGTTTATCTGGCTTATATATTTGCCAAAGACAAGCAAGATATGTTGCCCTATGTGGTCGTTAAGATAGCTTCCAATTGAAATGTCGGTTGGTTTGCTTGAAATCATGTGTACTTTTAATATTTGTCCGTTAATGTGAACCCTTTCCTTACAATTTATCAAATTTGCGACTTTATTTCACGAATCTCTCTCGCTGGGTGCTAATTACGATTGATCCAACAACCTGAGCGGCCAATTGTCATGTGGAGCATATGCCATGGAACAATGGCCCGGGGCCAGACATCTGTCGGCTGTCGCAGTTGGGCGTGCAAATATTTTAATTTCAAATTCATGCGTTAGTGCTAATTGCAGTGGGTCGCAATCGGGTATACGAAACTGGTTCCCCAATAATTCATATTTGAGTTTCCCATACGAATACCAATTGACACTTTTCCACGGGGCAGCATTGAGCAGAGGGCGCGTCGCGAGGGGTTTTAATCAATAAGTTGAATTACTTGTTGTGCAAATGCAAATTAATAAGTGCCTATACAAATGTTGTGAGGGAAGGCGGGAGGGGGGGGGGGGGGGGGGGCGATTTATTAATGCAAGTGCTCAATTTCCGTAACTAGATCAGGAATCACAAATAAAATGTGCTAAAAGCCGTTTATAGTAATGGAAAACCAGAAATATCTAAAACTAGTTATATATAAGTATGGGATCTTTAATCTAGTTACAGAACTTTTTTCTTTTACAGCTGAAATTTGACTATATTATTAAAAATTCTAGATATATATGTAGATATTCTAGACATATATCCTTTCATAGAACATTTGTATATAGAACACAATAAAATAGTTAAAGGAAGAGTAACTCAGTTTTTGAAAACATATCAGACATAAAACTATTTGAAATAAATATTTTATGCATAGAACCAGAACAAATTCGTAGATTATAATTGAAATTTAAACATTTCAATAACATGTAATTTTTTTGTTCTCTTCTGATTTACTCAAATGGACAAATCAGAGATTTACAAGAAATATTATTTATACAAAAAGAAAAAACGAAACATCCAGCATTTTTGCATTATGTTATATAAGACTGATCTTTAAATAAGTTGGAGGCTTGAGGTGTATTTATTTAAATAATTTATGTATTTTACAATTGTAGCTCACATTGGATACACTCTTTTTTTTCTTCTGGGCGCTGCCTTTAATTAACACATCGAAGATTTGGCAATTCTGGTCGATTTATTTCTCCGGTTATGGCAATATGTTTTTTTGTTTTATTTATTTGCCGGTATACAAATTAATATCAACTTATTTAGCGACAGTAAACATTTCTGTGTGAGGAGGTCTTTGCTCGAGTTGTGTTGTGTTTGGAAGAGGCTTTCGATTTGCACGTTGCGCGTTTTTTATACACTCCAGTCTTTTTATCGAGCTGCGCCGCGCTAACGTCTCAATCGGTCGAGAAACGGAATCCAACTGAAGCTCGTGGCACACGAGGCGCCATATCATGACGATAGTCGTAGCGCTCCCAAAGCCCCAATCGGCGCGTTAATTTCTTTAATGAATTTGTACAAATCATTAAAACTTATTGCGAGCGCTTCGGAAACTTTAACTGAAGCGCTTCCGTTGGCACTGTGTCGTGTCTTCTGTTTCTCGACCGTCCTCATGGCACCTCCTGTTTTAACAGGATATTGTTACAAGTCGTTCATAATTTCCTCTGCACACTTAATCAATAGAATTCCATATTTTATTATCCACTCGACATGGCTATTTGCTGTTGTATCACTTGTGGTTATGGTTTGGCTTTACACGCTAGATTATAAAACTGATAATATATATCTATAGCTAATTATCAGTACTTTTATTTTAATCAAAAACTATGCACTTATTGCATCTGGCATTGTAGTATTCTGGCTGATAAAAACAATTTTCTTATTGCTCTGCCTGCTAGGGGTTTTCTATTTTAATCTTTATAGAACTACCTGTCGCAAATGTGCTTGATTTTGCCAAATGACGCAATGGCATTTATTTTCGTTTTGCTGACACAAAAAACTTATTTAAAATAGGGCCTACTTTTCTTGGCAAATAAATAAAGTGAATAGCTGAGAAAAATGTCTAAGTAAGCAAAATCAAAAATTATAAAATTTAACTTGTTTATTACAATTTTTTATTAATGCTATTTAAATTTCGATGAAATTCTGAATTTATTCGATTGTGTTTAAAATTTTTATTTTTTATTACTAAGTTCCCAGCAGACTAGTAGAAAGGGTATCAAAGAGCATATTGGGTTTTAAACAGGAACGAAAATGTAGTAAGACCGGCTTCGAAAATATTTCTATAATTATTGAAACAAACTAAGGCAACCTATTCTATATTAAACAAAAGTACAAGTACAAATATAAATTTCATTCAAGAATTTTGCACTTCGTAGAACTGTCTTTGTTTGGGTTAGGTAAACTCCTAGTCGAATAATCTTTTTCTAGAATATTTCAACTGTTATCAGCTATGAATATTATGTAACTCGTATAACTCATTGTAAATGATTTATCTTAAGACTAATGAACTCGTATAGATCATTGTCCGTCTAACTATAGTTGCCTTAGCGAAGCTAAGTTAATATATAAACGAACCCAAGAGGTGCTATATAAAGGCACATGTAATATTTATACCAAAATTCGCAATAATTTATGCCTTTATTTTTTGGGGGTTTTGCCATTAGTGTATCACGCGCTTTGATTGCCTTATGCTACTAATTAAACTTATGCATCGCAAATTAGTTAAATAATAATTAAAATTACGGCAATACTTATATTCAATTAGCAGTGGATTAACGCAACTGACAGACAGAAAACCACAATTAATATACACAATCCACTAACCCGAATAAAATATGCTCAAATATGTGTGTGAAAGGCGGGACTCTGATAAATGTATTGCTCTATAGCTGTATATGTTATAAATCTTATAAATATTTTAAAAATATTCTTAATCTAATTTGCTCATCATATTTATTAGGCATAAAATTGAGTTTTGCGAAGAAAAAGTGTTGCCTACTTTTAGGCAGTGTTACAAAATTCAAATGCTGTGCATGCTCTGCGACTTGAGTGCCGCATCATTGGCCTCCTTTAGGCTATCACATTCATGGATCGTACTGAAATTAATATGCCACAGATCGGCAATGCTAACAGCTACCGTTTGCTCAAAATTGCTGAGCAGCTCGTTGCTGTAGCCGCTCACATCGGAGCTGGCGGTGCTGCAGCGTCGCAGGATGACAGCCGAATTGCGGCGATAGGTGTTCGGCGTGGGCACCTGACCTACCTGCTGCTGCTCCGTATTCCAATAGTAGCGATTGAGCAAACGCATAACGAGCCCGTACAGCCAGCCGAGTGTGGCAATTATCGTGATGGGCAGCAGGCGATGCACCACGGTCAGCGTGCTCAACAGCGGGGAGAAGACCAGGCAGAAGCGTCCGAAGCTAACCACGGAGAGCATGAGCAGCACGCGCTTCTCCGGCGATACCATTTCACCTGTGCAGGTGGTTAGCACAGCGATTGAAGCGGAGTTGGCAAATTTCAGCAGCATCCAAAAGATGAGCTCAAGGCCCACGCGGCGTGCATTGCGATCTGTGTGTAGAGCTGGTGGTTATAGCACAGGAACTGCATCTATATATATATATATATATATATACATATTTATATACCACTCACCACTCTCCGGCAGCAGCCAGACCAGATAGGTGCAAAAGCCTGCTATGATCATCAGATTGCCCGTCCAGCGCCAATAGCGACGCGTGTAGAGTATAAAATAGAGACCCACAAAGACGCCCAACATCTCGGCAAAGCCCAACGCAGCGGTATTCACGTGCACCTGCGCCTCGCCCAGGCTGCGTATCATCAGCAATATAATGTTATACAACACCTGGGCACAGCCCCAGATCAGATGTATGTAGACAAGTTGACGACGCTTTGTCTCCTTATCCCAAATCTGGCAATAGCTGCTGCGTTGCTTGGCGGCCAGTTCGGTGGCATAGATGGTCAGCTTGACGTCCAGGGTCAGGGGCACCATGCGATTGTTATGCGTGGCCGATTCTAATAGCAAACGTAGCGCCGGCTCCACACGCTGTTGGCGCAGCAGCCAGCGTGGCGCATCCGAGATCCATCGATGCAGCCAGACCAGCACAATCAGGGATGAGGATATGGCCACATAGAGATGACTCCAGTTATCAAAGTATATGGATATGGCGGGCAGAAGCACCAAGCCAATAGACCAAAAGAGCTCCGATAATGTGACCACCAAAATGCGTGCCTTGCCCGCCGTTATGTCCATTACTAAGTGCGAACAGAGCTGAGCAAGTTTGTGTCTTAAGTCTTTTGCAAAAGCTTACATATTACATGGCCGGCGGTATACATGAGCGTACAGCAAACGGAGGTAAGGCAACGAAAATAGATGTGCAGCTGATAGGTGTCCACCAGCCCGGTGAGATTGCCACAAAAGATCTGACCCAGCATGCCCAGCAGCATCAGGCGACGAGGACTTATGCTGTAAATGGGAGCACGGAAGTTATCAACAAGGCTGTTGGGAGGGGATGCGAGTAGAACTCACTGTCGCAGCGCCTGATGCGCCAGCAGACCGCCGAGCAGAGCGCCGAGCGCATGAAAGGATTGGGTGAGCGCGACAAGCACGCGGCGCGAACAAATCAAATCGAATTCAATGATCAGCGACTTATACGCAGCATGGTGCTCCACGCGCTCACAGGGCAGCGTAGTCTGTTGCTTGCCATTCCAGCTCTGGCCGTAGCGCTGCACAAAGCTCTGGGACAAGCTCTGGGCATAGGCATTGCACACCTGCACGCTGAATAGCCGGTCCGTGTTTCGGCTTTCGCTCGGCAGCGGCTCGCTGTCATTCCAGTTGCCCGGACGACAGACCAGTTCGCCGCGCTGCGGATACGGCGCTGTGTATATGATGACGGCCATAAACCAGGCCGTAGGTATCTTGCACAGAAAGATTAGGAGTATTGTGCGCAGCTGCCAGCGCCCAAAGTTGCCATTGATATGCTGCACAATATCCACGCCCGGCGGTGGAGCCGAGGATCTACGCCGCTGACAGATCGCATCGCTTGCCATCGTCGTCATGTACCCGCTGAAACTTACACGCGCACTGAGCTTGGACACAATTTTCATGGGCGAGGAAAGAAATCCAGGTTTGCTTTTGCTATTAACTCAACGGGGCTCGCAAATTGGGTGCAAATTAGTTGGCGATACGAGACGAAATGCTGCATCGATTGGAGAGGAATTTTTACATATTTTTTATACGCTGTGCACAAAGTGAGAAAACGGGTATATTCGTTGTATGCAATGTCCGTTATTGTTCTTGCTATATGGCATATATAATCTTGTATATTCGTGAAGTACACAAGAGGCGGGCATAACATCAAAAAGTCTTTATATCTCACAGTGTGACCGGACTAAACAGGACACAAAATATTGTAATCTCTGCTTTTCAAAGTCACATTTTAAGAGGCATTGCCAGCTTAAGAGTCCATTCACTTTTATAATATTGTGGAGAGAGTATAGCATCGTCGGTTAAACGTGATCGAAGCGTTTTTCTTTTGTTGTTTTTTTTTGTTATGACGGCAAACTACGTAAAGCGTTAAACAAATAGCATTGGCTAAAAAAAGAATTTACACAAATAATAAAATTGATTTTTATTTTTTCTATACACAGGATACGGCTGTAAAAGTGCAACAATAGATCATAATAGAACCGTGGTGATAATTGAAATTTAATTTATATGAGAAACGGAAAACCAGAAGCAGGAAGTTGAGCCTCTGATGATCCCCGTCGAGTGATAAGTACCTGGCAAGATTGTCTTACGGATAATGCTAGGGAAATAAACTTGAGCCCTAGCAGGTTCAATGCTCAGATCTTTAAATATCAAAAGAGAATCTGATCCAAATTGATGTTCGACCTTTAAATTGCCCAAATATAAAGAAAATGAAGAAAGAACAATTTCGTATTATGTATTATTTATTCGATTAAGTCATTCTGACCTGCATTTAATTTTGTATATATCTCATTTTCTCATGCCCATATTCTATTATCTGTTCTCACACTATTTGTTTGTCTTGTTTAGAGAATCGTGAAACTTAATCTCATAATTGAAATAATTCATTTGCTTACATTTCGCGCAAAGTCATGCTGTTTATTTATTTATTTGGGTTTTTTATATGTGTTTACTTAGTTCTTCTTTTGTGTGTTGCTATAAAATGGCACAAATTGCCGGCTTACTAAATATGCACTTTATTTTTGAGCCGATTTCATTATTTGCATATGCTCATATCATTTTTTTCTCTTTTTTGGATTTATTAATTGAATTATTTTATACGTAATTCGTTGGTTTTCTTTTGTTAAACGAGGTTTTGTTTTTCAAATTTGTTGCAAGTTCAATTCATTTTCGTTTTCGTTTTGTTTTCTATTTGTGGCTTTTTCTCCAATTATTTATTGTCTTAAACAATTATGCCAGCTTACAATATTAACGCTTTACAAATAAAATGCATGTAACAAATTTATTTCAAATCGAAAATATAATTAAACATTATTTTTGTGTGTTTCCTTTTTTTTAAAGTTATTTACATGTTGTGCTGAGTAATTATATAAAATAAATGCGTTTTTGGATCTAAGAAAGAAAGAAAGAAAAAAAAGAGAATTTGTTTTTAGATTTAGTAGATTTGGCTTTTGCAAAGAATTTACATAACAAAAGTTTTTAAACAGGTTAAATACATTAACATTAAATTAAAACTAAATTATGGCGTGTAGTCTATGCGCTGGATGCATTTAAATAATAATATTTGTATATATGTTATTTATAAGATACGTAGCTTTATTTACAATACACGAGTGTTGTGTGGAGTGCGACTTATCAGCAAGGAGTGCAGCAGTTAGTTCATAAGTAGGATAACTACCTGCTCTAAGAATACAATCCTAAATGTCATATACTATATGCGCACAGAGATTTTTGTTACATTTATGAGAGAGCGCAGCTAATGCCATATTTTTGTTGCTTGTTTTTTGCAGGTTTCTGTTTTTCATTGCATTCAGTTTATCAGTTTATAATAATCGTTAACATTATGCTTAGACACTAATTTAAAGTCCTTTGTTTTGTTTTTCTACTGCATCATTTATGCTTTATGGGGGAAGGAAGCGGCTGCTCTTAAAAACGAAATGCTACACATTAATTTTTGGTTTCCAAGATCCGTTCAATGATCCGTGCTAAGCGCATCCTCGATGTTGCTATCCCAATTGAACTCCGTAATTCCTTGCTTGTAAAATATATTGCCCAGATTCGCAAAGCGTTGCTCAAAATTTGCATCTTTCGCTTTTAGGTGCTCAAAGCTGCAAGAAAGGGTGAAAAACAGGAAAGAGAATTCATATCAAGATTGATTTTTCATAAAATTTAAGTAAAACTATATGAATAAATAATTATTCTATTGACAAAAGATATAAGATATAAATATTTTAAGTTTTAGACCTGCGTAACATAAAAGAAAGGGCCAAAAATATTCAAATGTTTCCAAAACTCAAAAACAGCCGTACTTTGTTGAGTTACTCGAAAAAGCTCTTGAAGAGAACAAGGCAGCAGCAATTCTAGAGGCGATCGTAAAGTTCTGCTGATGATAGAATCGAGGGGTTCTTGGAACAGATAACCTGACAATTTCTTGTTGATTATTATACTTATTTAAATTAACCAACATAGGTCTCGAGTTGGTCAGCTTAATATTCGACCACATCCTTATATAGTCCACAGTTGCAATGCCAATGATTGAAAGTCATTTTAGATAGAAATAGGTTGAATTTCAGACTAAACTACAAACATCGCTTGACCTTCAACATATTTGTTTAATTTTTAAGGTTTTTCTTAACAATGTAATTTCAGAAATTTCTCAGATTTTTTTATGCGACTTACAAGGTGCTTAACCTTCGTATAGGAATTGCTTTTCTAAAATCCTTTAAAAGGAAGTGCCTTTATTCGCAAAGTGGACTACCTGTATAGGCAGAAATACTTCCTAATACCTGACCCGTGCCAGTTGATCCTCAAGACAATGAGGTACAGTTTTTCTGCGTGATCTTTGAGTTTCCCGTACAAACAAAGAATAGAAGAGAGTGAACAAGAATGAAATTGGTTTAAAAATGGGAGAAATTTCAAAGAAAGTTAGCTAGATCTTCGGACTAGCTTTTTTTGTCTTTGCCTTGGCAGACTTCTAAGACCGATCAACTTATTTGGCACATACTGTACCTTATTTCGAACATTTTGAGTAGCAAAGCTGATTTTTACAATTTTTTACGAACATTGTTCGACTTACAAAAGTCAAAGGGAGAGAAATGTGCGCGGATCGTGAGAATTGGGAACTTTCTTAAGCCTGGCAACCCTCTGTCCCGTGTGCTGATATTTGCCTCGTTTGTTTTTTTGGGTCTTGCCATAAAGCTGTACAGTGTAGGGTAAATCCTCATGCCTCATATGGCAAATCAAAATTCAATTGTTGCTGCAGCTGTGCTCAGTGCAGCTGTATATAATTAGAGAAGAGATGGAAGACGACGACGCAATACCTCGTCGCAGCCCAGGGGCATTGTTAGCGCAGAATGTCAAAGGTCATATACAATGCAGAACCTGAACCCTGACAAAACGAAAGAAGAAAAAAACCCAAGACAAAGAGCGACAAGCGGCAGATTTTACAACAGTCCCTTCAAGGCAGTTCGAACACTGGACTTGAGTCATTTGCAGTTGAAAAAAAAAATTTTTTTCTAGAGCTTGTTAATAGCTGTTATTGTTGTTGTTGTTGTGGCCCACCCTTAAGCCACGCATGCGCAGCTGCGTTACGCCTGAGGAACTGGCAAGAAGGAAGTCGCAAGTCCGGAAAGTTCCCGTTGAGTGCGTCGTACAGCCGCAATCAGCGTCATCTTCTGGAGGAGGGGTTGGAAAAACTTGTGGAAAAGGCAGGCGAGCAGGAAATAAAAACAAGTTTTCAGATTCTTTGTCGTAGATGCAGCAAAGGCCATCGTGTATTTCATATATAGAGTGGGGGGTTCTTAACTTATTTATAATAATTTATTGGAACAAACTTTAGCCTAATTTTGTTTGAATTTCGTTTCTGGTCGTTTGCAATTACATATTCCGCGCCTTGAGCACCTGCTTTTGCGGCGGACTGGGGACGTTCTCCTTGCCGCTGGCAAAGATCAGCGATTTCTTGGGCGTGCTGGCCGCCGATTTGGGTGTGCGCGGCGTGCGTGGACTGTGGGGGGTGCGTGGTGTGCGCGTCTTGGGCGATTTACAGGCGAGCAGCTCGCTGAGCTCATTGTTATTATCCTGGCGGACGTTCTTCTCGGAGGAGTTGAGCAGCCAGGAGGTGATCTTATCGCATTCGGCACGCAGCTCCGAATCGATGAGCAAATCTTCAATCTTCTCCAGATCTGTGGTATTCGGTTTGTTCGCCTTGCTGGGCGTCAATATGGCCACAGTCGGCTGTTGTTTGGACTTGAGCGCAATATTCTCCAGCTTGAGCTGTTCGCACTCCTCGCGCACCTTGAGCAACAGCTGCTCCTTGTTGTCCAGCTCCAGCTGGGCGAATTGCAGCACTGTGGCAAACTCATCCAAGGCCTTCTTCATGTCCGCCATATACAGCTCACGCGTCTCATCCTTGCGCTTCAGATCGCTGTACATGTCACAGTAGTGGGCCAGCTGGGCATCCCCGTCGATGCGCTCCTGGAACGAGTTAGCAATCTTATTGAATTTGGCCAGCGTATCCGATTCGCTGGCTAGCAGCTCATGCAGCATCGATTCTTTCAACGATACCTCCTGCTGTAGTGTCTGTGAGGAGCTGCGCAGCGCCTCCAGAGCTGCCTGGGATTCGGTGAGCTGTTGGCGCAGCTGTGCCGCATCAGCCTGCAGCGTTAGATAGCTCTGCTCTAGGGCGCCCTTGGCCAGCTGCACCGATTCCAGCTCGGACTTGTATTGCTCCACATCGGCATCGGATTTCTTGAGGCGCTCCATCAGTATGTTGACCGTGGAGCGTGTGTTGTTAAGTGTTAGCTGATAGTTGTACTTCTCCGTAATGGTCTTGGCCATGTCCTGCTTGAGCTGGACCAGCTGCTGTTGGAGCGTATCGCTTAGCTGGATGTAGTAGTCGATGCCGTTGCGCAGCTGCTCCTCGCATTTCTGTAGCTTCTCGTCGCGCTGACGCAGCATATCGTTGGTGGTCTCCAGCAATACCATCACATCCTGTTTCTCCAGCTCGATCTTGATGAGCTCGTTCTCGGCCAGCTTCTGGCGCTTGTCCAGCTCGGCACGCCAATAGCACTTCTCACGCTCCACAGCGCTCTCCAGCTCGTTCTCCACCTGCTGCTGTGCCTGCTGCTGCTCGGCTTGCTTGGCCTGCTCCTGGCACAGCTGGCGTATGGTATCGCAGTGTGCATCGATTTCACAGGATTTGTCTAGCAGCTCGTCCTGCAGCGAACGTATCAGCGTGCACTTGTTGGCCAAATCATTCTTCAGCGTGTTGCGCTCCACACGCAAGCACTCCAGCTCCGTTTGGCTGATCTTCGTCTCCTGGCCATAGGCCAAAGCATCCTGTTCGATTTGCAGCTTCAGCTGCTGCACATTCGACAGCAGCTCTGCGTTCTGGGACTGCAAGCTCTCGATGCGCTCCAAGTGCTCCGTGTTTTGCTGCTGTGCCGAGCTGCATGTGCCACGTGCCTCGTTGAGCTGCGCTTGGAGCACGTCCAGCTGTGCCTGGAGCTGCTGTTGCGTGGTCTGCTGCTCCTCGCAGGCCTGCTGCAGCTGCTCATTGGCCAGCTTGTAGGCCTCGTTTTCGGCCAGTAGACGCTCCACTTGCCGCTCATGCTGTTCCCGCTGCTGCTGCAGCTGTTGCTCCAGTTGGCCGTAGCGTTCCAGCAGCTGTGTCTGCTCCAGGCTCAGCTGCTCGTTGCGCTGCTTGTGGCCCAGATTTTCGCTGCCCAATGCCTGTAGCAGCTGTTCGGTCTTGGCTGCCGTCTGCTCGTGCTCCTCGCGCATCTTTAGCTCCGTCTCCTTCAGCTGGTCCACATGACGACGCACCACGTCCAGCTGGCTCAGATAGCTCTCAATTAGTTCGTTCTTGTTACGTATCTCCTGCTGCAGTGCCTCCTTGCCCTTCAACCGATTCGCCGACTTAGCCTCCTTCACGGGCGTCGTTGTCGCCGAGTGCAGCGGCGTGGAGGCAGCCGTTGAGGCGCCACTACCAGATGCAGCTTCTGCTGTATGACTGGCCGCTGGGCGAAAGCGCAAACGTTGCGGCAGCGAGGGCGTTCGAAAGAGCCGCAAGCCCTTGGACTTCTTGTCCTCCTTCGGTATGGCAAACTCCTTGGCTTCCTTTGAGCTGGAGGCGAAGCGTACTGCATCCTTGAAGAACTTTTCGATTTGCTCCTTGCGCTCCGGCGGCGGTGGCCCGGCAGCGGCTGTGGGCGTGGCGCTGCCCGTGGAGCCCGCCGAGCTGTTTGAATTGGAGTTGGCAGCTGGAGAGCCGCAAACGACATCCACATCGTTGAAACGCTTCAATTTTGCTTTGGAAAAGGACATGTTTTGTGCTTTCTGTTTTTATAACTTTGTTTCTATAAATTTTCTTATTATATTTTAATGTTTAATTAACACTTTGCTGTTCGATAACAAAAACTCAATAAAACAATTTTAGTTCGCAAACACAACATTAACTTTTATAAAAAACGTTTTAACAAATGTCCGTTGAATTTTTCGCTGTACTGTATAGTCCGTTGTTGTTAATGTTCTTATGAAATTGCCCGCAACCCGCTTGCCCCTTGTTGCAGCTGCATCTATAGCTCTGTTCCTACGCGTTCCGCTGTCAAAACCTAACTGAAGCGTTGCGAGCTGCGACAACGCAAACGCGGTCTGCGCAACGATCACAAGCAAAACAACCCTCGACTAGGCATCATAAAAGGTAGCGAGGGGTTACCTTTTGGTGGTGGTTCGTGCCACACACACATACACTACCTTATCGCTATCTTATGTGAAGCATAGAAATTTTACTTTTGGCGCGCGCAAATGTTGCAATTGCCAAGACAGCAAAGGAATCCCTAAAGAAATGCCCAAGTCGTGTGTGTGTGTGTGTGCCCAGACATCTGTCAAAGAATCACATAGAGTTGCCGCTGTATAGATATGTATATATATATACACATATATATATGTATATACAACCGTTAGTGCCCCCCACTCCAACTATGGAAAAGGTGGCGGCCACAGCTGGCAGCCAGCATAAAGTTCGACACTCGACCCGCATAATTAAAGGAAAAGTCGTGGAAAATGTGAAATGTGAAAATGCGCAGCGTTGCGCCTGCGCCTAACATTCAATTTCCTGACAAATGGTTAAGGTAAATTGAATTGCGTTTATTAGTGCTATAGGCCGATCAATGCTCTATATTCACCTACATATTTTTAGCTGCTTTATGCACCTAGCGGGAATGCCACTACCGACAAAAGAGCTGAAAAGGAATTGGAAGCTAATGCAAATATTTTTACTAATATTTTATTTATTGTACATTTTTCTATTATTTATATTTTTTATACCCTGAACCCATTAAAAATGGGTATAAGGGTATATTGTATTTGTGCAAAATCCAAATGTATGTAGAAGGAAGCATCTCCGACCCCATAAAGTATATATACTCTTGATCAGCATCAATAGCCGAGTCAATCTAGTCATGTCCGTCTGCCTGTCCGTCTATCCGTATGTATGAACGCAAGGATCTCAGAACCTATAAGAGCTAGAGACTTGAAATTTTAGATGTAGATGCTCCTAGTTTCCGCGCAGAGTTTGTTTCCGATAATCGATAACTTACTCCGTTTCCAAGAAATCGATAAAAATCGATATCGATATCCTGTTTTTTGGGCAATTTTGGTAAATAATAAGAGCTAGAGTCACCAAACTTGACATATAGCTTCTAAAACAGAATATATATATGCATTTGATGTTGGAAGAAGAGGGTTCAGGGTATCCCCTAATCGGGAGCTCCCGACGAGAACCTCTTATTTGTTTTAATATTATTTTATTATTAGTGTTATTATTTAAAATTCACATTTATTCAGTAAAATGTTTCATCCTAAAATAAGACTGGAGTTCGGCTGACCTGGATTCGAGCCAGGTACCATTAGGTTAACTGACCACCTAGAACTCATATAAGTCATTTTATTATCAACTATATTTACAGCGCATTTCCGACGGACAGCGCACCCAACGTGGTGGCCACAACTGACAAAACTTCTGAATTGTGTAGATGTCAATGGAAGTGCGGCTTAGTAAGGCACAGAGGGGTCTCTAGGGTATATATATATGCATTGGAATATATTATGTATACATATAACATATATGCGTGTTATGTATAAATTGTAGCCTGTTTGTGGTGATAAGGAGTCGACAGCCTGCTTGGCATGCACAAAGTAAATTGTTTACTTTTTACCTTTAAGGCAGCAGACCGAAGAAATCTCAGACTGAGCTAGCAGCTGGTTTCTAATTGCAACAGTTTGTGTAACTCCTTAAAGGGTAGCAAGAACTTTTCCAAAGCTGAATGCTAATGTCAGCGATTCTATGCAGGAATTTGGTGTGAAATATTTCATAAAATAAAAATATTTGAATACGTCTCTAGCATCAACAGTTTCTGTAAGTGTAATAATTTTGTACATCATATTTTTATTTTATTTCATTTCTGATATTAATTGTTTTTAAACATATGATCTCTTTTTTTTTTATTTTAAGATCATTATTAAACCCTCTTCAACAAAATGCAATGTACTTCATTGAGCATTTGAACAGCGCCGATAATTTCCCATGCCTGATGAGGCGTAACCAAATTATATTAGCTCTCAATGCGCCAAATGTGACGCCAAGATGAAAGTTGGTAACATGGTATCCATTAAACAGGAAAGAGGCCTTTGTGTTGCCATGTTTCTGTCTGTTGCCCTGTCTTGATGTCAATGCAAAGTGATCGACACAAAGGAAGGAGCGTTCAAAGGGTTTGTGCACCCTCTAAAAGGACTCACAATGAGTCATCGACCTGAGACTGAGGACCATTCAATGATATGCGTGGCAACAAAAAGGAGCACCCGGATCAGCTTTCTGAGTCCGGACAAACTGGTTAGGTCAGAAGCAGGATGCAACTAAGAATCCGTTGGAGTTTAAGATTTATGTGAAAACAATCTTTGAATTTGCACATAAGCCAATTATGTACGTATTAATAATGGATAGATATAAGCCTTTATTCTGGCATACTCATACTCTATTGATTCAAATATTTGTCAGCCGTCAGATATTTGAGTAGGAAACATTTGAATGTATATCTATTATACTATTTGTTTATGTCCTAATGGGTTAGGGTTATGCAGTGATCATCTAGATGTTCATCGGGGATGTTGATTGTTGTCTGTCCCTCATTGACACTTTATGTATTCAACTAGAGAGCTTCATTCCCTTCATTCCCATGTTCACTTTATTACCATTTTCTTTTTAGATTTTTATTAACAGCACTTGAGTTTTTGGTAGACTGGAGCTAAACACAGTTTATTTTGTGTGATTTAATATTTACTGATCACTTTTAAAATTTCTGTTAAATCTTATATTTGTCCTCCATCATCATAAAGCAGTCACATTTTTTGACTATTTCGGTCATTAAGATAATGGGATAATGGATTAATGGGTCATCTAGGAACCATTGATTTTGCTTGTCATATATAAGTCTTATATATGACTTCGGCTTTTAATTTCGGACTAAATCTTTTTTCCCTGGCAGTACTCACCGCTGGAATAGTAAATTCTTGGCGAATGCATAGAGCTCAATGTCCAGGCCATTGAGCTTCTCGATGCGTCGCCGCTGATCGGGACGCAGATTCGTGACGGCAGCTGCGGATATTGTGGCATTGTGCTGCTCGAAGGGGATGGCAAAGCGCAGGTTGAAGGTCTCCTCGAAGATGTATTGGGACATCTGAAAGGTGGTTTAAGGTAAGGTAAGTTATGATAACTTTAAATTGACTCGAGCCAACCTTCTGATATTCCGTCAGTCCAAAGTACGCCATGGCAGCCAGATTACGCTTGGCGCTGGCCAACATGACCCGATCGCGTTCATGCGCTGGCATCGAGGACTTGTTGTAGCAGCCGACCAGGGCGAGATCGGCCAGCATGCGGGTCTGCCGATTGGCAGCCAGATTCGACTCACAGCCGGCAAACTGATCGAGATCCACGTCCAGCCAATCCTTGCCTTTATAGCAGGGCGGCAGCTCGACTGCCGTTGCCTGTCGGCCCAGGCACCAGTGCCGCGATCCCTTCCAGGTGGCGCCGCGTCGCACATGTCGGTACTCGGACATATAGCGGGAGATCGGTTCGCGCAGCAGCGAGATGTAAAAATAGCGACGTTTGGCCGTCTCACCCTCGTTCTTGTCCAGCTCAACGTCCACACAGCTGGTCAGCTCGGTCCAGTCGGCGTGCAGGCCGCACTTCCAACCCGTCGAGTATCTGGAGAAGAGCCAATTCTCATTGCGATGCGGACGGAAGCAATAGCAACGCTTGCGCTGACGCTGGCACTCACAAGGACGCTGCAGGTTGTATTCATTGAAGATTATTTGGATTAGATATATAATTTTTACACAGCTTACCTTCAGGTCCAAGTCGCGCACCAGATGCCGTCCAAAGGAGGTGCCGCCTGTTTTTTGTATATGCAAAAATACCATTACATCGTGTCCATCCATATCGAACTGGAAATCATCGTTCAGCACATCTTCATAGCTCAGTCCTGCATTGGCTATAATATTCTGTAGGGCTGAGGCTTTCGACGCAATCGCCGTGCTGCCGCCCGCATTATTATTATTGTTATTGTTGTTGCCGGCCTGATGCAGCGCCACGGGCTGCAGCTCATTGTAGGCCATCATGTCTGAGGACTGAAGTATTACGGCGCGTTTGGAGAGCGCACATACCTGTGGTTCGTCGGCAATAAGAGCAAAAGTGGATAGCATTAAAAATGAGTATATCGAAAATTTTTAAATGTTCTTTTATTACTCATTATACCCTGTAAAAAAATAACAAATGCGTCCGGCATATTGTATATATATATGTTTAAATGAGATAAAGTGAAATCAAATATGTGAAACGACGCCGTTGATTGCCCAGTTTTGTACGAAATTTGACCAGGCGAACAGAAATGCCCAGCAGGTAGCCACGAATGCTCGAATTAAAAATTTGATTGCATATTTCTTTACTGCTAATTCTTAACAGTCGACTGTAAAGTAGCAGCTTCTATAAAATGCATAATTCTTGTATATGTCTCGTCCATGATTTTCTTCATTTTGTAAATACTCGCTGATTTAGGTTCCCCAGGACTATATCTATGGCATTGAATAATTAAGGATACATGTGTCATCTAGGAACCATCGGATTATATTTATTTTTAATGCGCGGGCGTGGCAGATTTGGTTGATAGTGACACCGAAAATTCGAATTATTACGATTCATAATTAGAATTAATTATTTTTGTAGTAAGCTTAAATTGGAGATACTTTGGCTAAAATATGTCCGACTATCGAAAGATATACCTTTTTGGAAGGTCTATCGTAATTATCAGAAACAATAATTCGATATTTAACCGATATATTCAAACTTTAAAATATTCGAAATGTATAAAATGGCAGTCTTCAGCATGCATTGCAATTTTCAGCTTTTATGGCCCTCACGAAAGTATGCCATGATCTGTCTAGTTGAAATTTGTAGGTTTAGATATTTAAAAAAAAGTAAACATCAGTTGTCAGTTGTTAGTTGTCAGTTGTCCGTGTCTACAGGGCATCTTTTAGTCTATCACTCTCTCTCAACCCAGAGCACTTTTCTGCCTTTTTATTGCCAGCGTGGGTCTTAAAATTAAATATATAGCCAGCAAAAATTACACAGAGTACCTGTATGCTTGTCTGCTGTCTGTGTGAGTGCAAGTGAGTATATTGCTGGGTGTTTATTTGTTTTCAACATTAATTAAATGAAGAACGAGATTAAATGCATTTTTGTGAAGCGGGCAGCAGGCTACTTCTCCAGCTGTTATATCTGCAGGCGTGTCAACGCTGCATATTGCGGTCTACCTGTCGAGACTCTCCTGACGGATAACAACTGCTCAGCTCTGCGTGTTCTTCTTTGCCCACTGAAATGTGCAATTTTTTATTTTATTTATTTTACTCACTCAACGATTATAAAGTGTGTAATTGCGTTGCACTTGAGCTATTTGTCGCATTTATTTACTCTTTACCTATACGACCGCGAAATTAATATCGAGTTCAAAAGCAGCTGGCGTGAACATTTTCTGATGCATACTTTCGTGCGCGTATCTTAATTTGATAAAGCGTATTCAATGGAATGTCGGTAGCTATTGGATTTCCGTTAAAATCCAATTGGAATATCGAATTGGATTGCAATTCGTAATGAAAAGGCGGAAGAATTTCATTGATCTCAAACAATATAATTAATAATCGCTAGGCCGAAGACTATTATTAAGCATAAAACTAATGAAAATAAAACCTTTCAGTTGCTTATACTCTATTATTAATATGTACACATTTGTCCAAGCTGTATAAGCTTGAGTAAAAACCTTTTTGTAAATAAATTGCCTTTTCTTTCATATAGAAAAAGTTAAGTTCTATATTATCTTTTTTGAGCAACGCATGATAATTTTTTCTACAAGTTGCGTAAAATCAGAATTTCTTAATTTCAGAACTCACGTAAAAAGCAAATTCAAGTAAACAAGTGTGAAGTGGAAACAATGCATTATTTGAACATAATTTCTTTGTTTGGTTCCGTGATTATTTTTGCCCTTTCTCATATAGCTGCTGTGTGAGTGTCCTGTTATAGTTTAAGAAAAGACAAGTGATTCAGAGACAAAGCATTGAAGTTCTCAGAACTTGAAGTAAAAGTTTCTCGATTAAAATGAGCAACTTTTTGCGAAATTCTTTCAATCTTTCTCTCCTATCTAAGCATTTCCGCTGCTTATGGCCAAAAGCCAGTACATACAACCAGCCAAAGCGAAACATCTAACAAGCTGAAGTAAGTCAACAACTACAAATGTGCCAACTGAGCAGCTCATTAAACAATTGTCCGTGGGGTTTGGATGGGATTGGTGCGTGGGTTCATAAGAAATTAAGCAGCAGTTTGGCTGGTTGTGTGGTTCTATGGCTATAGGCCTTATCTTTAGTTCTGCACGCAGCTCGTTATAATCGCATGAATGCGTGTTAACTAAGCGATAAGAAGAAGATGGAGCAGCATCAGCCGAAGCTGAGGGAATAAACAAGCGAGCTGTTCATCTACAGCTGCATGTGGTAAAAGGCTTATCGTCTGGGCAGGTGCAAAAGTTTTGAATTTATTGTGCAGCAGGAACAAGAGAATTCGATTATCAGGCAACTGCTAGAAAAATGGCCAAAACTTCAGAGTTGGCGCCCTTGGGCATTCATTTTTATTTATTTTCTTTTGTGGGGCAGCTGCTTAAGGTTTATTTATTTGTTTGTTAGGGGAACTTAAATTTCTGCGATTTTTGGCAAGGCACAATATATAAATAGAGTAAATTTATGTGCGGCGCATTAAATGCAATTTGTGCGAAAATGAGACGGAAATCTACTATTAATGAGTAATTTAATTTTATTTTCTCGTAACGCAGCAACAACCACAACAACAACACGTGCAACAAAAATAATAACATTTCCGCAAGTACGTGTTGGGGCCAGCACTTTGCTGGCCATTTAATTGCTTTCTATAGGCAGACATAAAAAAAAGTACACACACTATGGCCAGGGACCGCAAGCCATCGACCCCCAACCACAGACCGACCAACAAAAAGACCCACTAACATGTCCAAGTCGAGCCACATTTTAGTTAATGCCCGCAGCATTCCGTAATAATACAATAATAGTAATCATTTAGTGGGCAAATTTGTTCGCTGTTCATGAGCCAAAAAATTCCCAGGCATACGCACACACACACACGCACTCACTTACGCGCATATAAATATAGACAATTGCACATTGTGCGAGTTTTGTAGATGTGTGAGAATTTTTGCAGTGTTGTTAAATGTTCAGCACACGCATACACAAGTGCTTAAGTTAGAGATGTGACCGTGAGACAAATAAAAAATGTAGCCTGAAACATTTTATTAATTACATTTCTTATTATCAATATATGCCAGGCTTTATAAACTCAACTTTTTAATAGCACTCCGGCTCAGACCCGGCTACATCCATAGCCATAGATTAGAAACGTGTTTCTTCCTGTTAAAATATATATAATAGAATATAGAATTGTATATCATATTGTATTTAAACATATAGTTTTTCGGGTTAAAAAAGACATTTATTGGGTGTTACAGGAATTATTATTGATGGTTATCCAATTATACATGATACTATGTAATTCACCCCAAAAAAAAAAATGTTAAAAATATTTTATATATGCAGTTGGGTTTTCAGCATCAGAGGAATTTGTATATTCTTGTAGTTCTTGAGATTGTTTTTGTATTATTGTGTCTAGACCAATTAGTAAAAACAAGTAAATTGTTTTCACAAAGGTGTAATACCCAAATCTTGTGCTTCCGACCACATAAAGCTAATCACGTGCACATCTTTAGTTTATTTTTTATGCTCCGCACAATGACGTGCAAATTGTGTTGCATACTTATGGGGTGTATATGTAAAAACTTTAATCAGCTTACGGCAATTATTGTTTTGAGTAGTTGTTAAAACTTAAATATGTTTTTTTTGTGTACATATTTTACTAGTTGTAAACGTCTTATAACTCATGTTAGCAAAAAATTCAAAAAAGTATAAAATAAATGTAACACACAGTTAACAGTTTATTTTATGTTCAGTTTTTCTTTAGAGATTTTCCAGCTTAGGTAACAAGTTTATTTGCCATGAAAACTATAATTATAGGCAGGAAATCGCAATCTCATCGCTTTTTAATCTTTTGATATTACTTATTAAATAAAGTGGAAAATAAACTATTCGGTTTATGCTACGTGCAGAAAAAAAAATAAAACACAAATAAAATAAGCGACTAGAGGCGCAAGTTTGAATTGAGTAAATTAACATTTACGAGAGTGTGTGAGATTTCAGACTTAAGATTGTGCATTTATAAAGCAGGCATATATAGACTAAGTACTGTGCAAGTGTGCACAACACACATATACACACACGTGCACACACATGCTCGTTAAGACTCGTAAATTTCCAGCGCACTAAAAAGTAAACAATAAAACTTTTTGTGCTCCAAAAAAAGTAAGAACATTTTCTTGGTCAAGATTTGATGCTGAGCAGCCATAAAAAGCAAAAACTAAATAGAAAAGCAAATGAAAATCGTGGAGACAGACGTACTCCCAGTGCCATAAAAATTTACGCAAAAGCAGAAAATAAATTGGACAATCTATAAAATGGTAGACGTATACACAATCTTGTCTATTGCTTATTTTGAGACAAAAAAAAAAAAACACAATTTCTTTGCAGTTACATTTTTTTATTTGTAACAGATTGTAACGTGTCCGGTAATATCGCGCAGGCAAACTGTTAAGGCAAATTAAATTTATAGCAACTTTTTAAAACATTCAATAAAAGAAAAAGACACTCACGAGTTTTGGGTGTTAGTTCGCCATTTTCCCTCAATTCCTCATAAGTCTGCGCCCGCAAACCCTGGCAAAATAAGCTCAAAATAAGCAGCAAAAATAATTGTAACTGAGCTGCGTACATGGCTAAAATAAGTCTGGCTAAAGACCTGGGTTTACCTTAAAAACTAGAAAAATTGTGCAGTTCATGCTTAACGCTTTAATGGCGTTAGAGAATTCGATGAAGTTAGCATATTGTCGCACTGATACATGGACACACACTTCAAGGAGATGTCGTCACGCACAAAGCTAGCTCTGCAGCTACAGCCCAAATGACAGACCGTTGAGCAGGAGCCATCATAGTTAAAGGGCACCGAGCAGCTCGGCTCATAGCAGGGCAAACAGGCGCGTTCCTCATTCTCGCCACAGGCTGTAGGTGAATGCATGGATTGGATAGGTTAGGGAAACTGACACGGAAAATTTTGCCTTTCGGCTTATACGCTTACATACGTTGGCCATATGGCGCTGCTGTGGCAGCTGGCACCAAGCAGCTGAGCAGCGTGAAAGCTGAACGCAATGCAAATGTAAACAACAGCATGCCACAACTACATGCGGCAACAACCCGCAGCAAGCTCAGCGGCAACGAAAACCAACAATACGTTGGCTCTTTACGCTCTTTAAGCAATTCGAATTGTGTGCTACGGCAATTAGTCAAATTTGCATTAACTCTGTTCTACATTCGTCACCATCCATTTGTTTACAGGGTATCAAAGGGATAAATACGAACAAAAAGGTAGTAAGAATGCTCTAGTCGAGAGTGCCTGACTAGCAGGTACCCTGCACCCAACGCTTGGTATCGAATTTTACATAACATTTTATTAATTACTGTTAAATAAATTCTGGGTCTATTGTATATTCGTAGTCAAAATTTATGTACTTAAAGTTGCGTGTTTATATACCAAAATCAAGGCAAAGTAAACATTATCGTTTTTTATATATAGAAGCATATTTCTGCGTCTAGTAGTTAAATCAATTGTTATTGAAGCCAACATTTTGTTAATCTCCAAGTTGTATTTATTTAACGTGGAACATATTTAACAAATTGAGCAACAATCCATTATGCCTCCTTACTATTATCAATTGGCTGCTGGGTGTAAATAAATGGTTTATTTATGCAAATGTGTCGATGTTTCTACTAATAGAGCTGTTTAAAAGTAAATTGTTTTTTGTTTTCAATCCATAATATGAAGCGTTAAGATTGTGAACGTATGACTAGCAAATAAATAAAAGATGTTGCTTGGAATTGATTAAAAGACTATCCAAAGAATGATAAATGATCCACATAGACCAAGTTAAGTTTGAATTAGGTTCTATTCTATGCGCAGTCAAATAAATACGATGAAATAAAGAAATAATGCCTGCTTTAATTCAAGTACTATTATTATATTTTAAGTGCGCTCCATTAGTCAGCTGCTTAGGCATATGAATAGCTAAGCTTAGCTTAATATAGTACTTAAGTGCTGCTTTGATAATGTATATTATGCATATTTTAACAATTTTGCGACTATAATCGCATATTTATATTTAACGATCCCATACAAAGGGAATTCGAGACTAAAATGCGCAACCCCAAAAGCGGGCTATAAAATATTTATATGCCGTCTGCTAATGGCGTGACTTTTGGGTTTTGGCAAGGCGGACGCCGAAAATAATTCACATTTGCCGTGTAATAATCGCATTGGCATGTTAAAATCGCATAAGCGCCCATTTTATGCACAAAATTTACACAACATTTTCGTTGTAAATTTCAGGCCAAAATTTACTTTATAAAACCCTCAACGGCCACGCCCGTGGCCCAAACGTTGGTATGTTTTTGTGCATTTTCATGTATTTGTTTAAATGATAATAAAATGCAGCACTGTAATGTAATTTATCATTCGAACAGTGAGTGTGCATATGTGTGTGTGTGTGGGTGTTCCAGTGTTGTATAATTTTTATATTTCCGTTTTCATGTCAGCCACATGGGGGCATTGGGTTTTATGCGATAGCACGAAGCCTGCCTCCAGCTATATTGTTTACCTGACAGAGCGAGCGTGTGTGTGTGTGCAAGTGTATGTATAGTCCTTCTATAGTCCTATAGTCCTGTCTGGCTGGCCATTTTATGCGCCTGATTGTATATGGATTGTGTTGTGTGTGCTTTCAAGTTGCCCATTGAATGGTTAGCCACGAACATGGTATATGACAGCATCAAAAAGGCTGCCCCTCACAACTCTTAACTTGACTGATGCTGGGCTTATACGGCAAATAAAAATATTGCTTAAGCTCAACAATTGTCATCCCACTTTGGTTCAAATATGTGAGGGAATTGCCACAAGGTGAGTGTTTTATTCACCTCTTAACTTTAATATATATCTCTTTTTATTTGAATTAAATATATCTCCAATTGTTCTTATGTCTAGATTGAAGCTCAAACAAGTTTGCAGAAATTTTGATCGATTTAACAGAAAATCAGAATTATGAAAATAAGAATCATTAAATAATTTCAAGAGGAGTATTAAAGCTTTTTGCGTTTCACTGTAAATGATATGATAGTTGGGAAACGAAAATTTTTGAGAAGCTAAAAAATATTTTTTAATTTAATGAGGGAGAGCGAAAATATGCAAAGATTATTAAATGTCTGTCAAATATTTAATTCAATTTATTTGCCTAAGTAAATGTGAATAAACTGGCAATAAATGCTTAAAACCTGGTATTAAATTTTGACATGCCATGCACAAAACAAAAATAGTTGCAAACCATTTGTGTCAGGGGCTATCCATAAGTTTGGACAGTCCAAAACAGTGCGGATTGATGTATTTATTTTGCAACGATCGTGTGTGTGTGTATGTGTCTGTGTGCTTGTGTGTGTAAGTGTGGTGTTTGTCGTTTCATTTATCAAATGGAATCTCAAACACTCTGGGTAGGGTTGTGATTTCAGGCATTTAATCATTGACAGTTGCTTATGTTTTCAATGGATATTCTACTGTTTCTCTTGAAAGAAAATGAGGGAGCAACGGAAATAAGGGAACAAGAAATGATGGGCAGCTATTTATTATTTTTTAAAGCACAACGTTGAAAGCTAATCTATTTTAAGTGGCTGTAAAGCATTGAACAAACGAATGCGTGTGTGAGTGCGCGCGTGTGTGTGTCCGTGCGTGTGTGTGTGTATATTCCCTAATGAAATGTAGCATAATATTTTCAGTTTAGACATTGGCCGAAACCCACGACTAGACTTCAAGTGTGTTTGTGATAAGCGTTGTGTAAATCCCCAAAAATAAGCAAAGACACAGCGCACCACACGCACACACCACACCACATCCATAACCACACACACATACAGAGACAAATCCCCTATAAGTGCTGAATAGCTTTGGATAGTCCAGCGCTGTCCGCTTGTTTTTGGTCACTGACCATAAATTCAACTAAAATATATTTTGACATTTTGCACGCAAAGCGGTTGATGAGCATGGTTATAAGGGGTGCAGGGGGGCAAGGGGCGTGTTGAGGGGCTAACTCAGCGTATTGGCCTCCCACATCTCGGGGTGCAAATGGGCCAAAGGGAACGCACACAGCTATATAAAGGTCATCGCAAGGACCAGGCCGCATTTCCTATGAAGTGTTAACATGCGATAACAGCAAAAGCAACAGCAAAAGCGACGGCAACGGAAACGGCAACGAGACATCCCCAAAACAACAAACACAATAAATGATGCCAAATGCTGATGATGGCCCAAAGACTCTGTGCTTTAAGAGATGAAAGCATGTCGAATTTTTCCAAGAAAAGCACGAAGTATACAATTCAAGCCACGCACGTCTAAGTCTAAAAAGCAAACAAACCTATTAAATATTAAAATAGCATTTTGCGTATTAAAAAAAATTGAATCGGAAGTGAACAAATAAATGCTAATAAATGGGCAACATTTTAGTATATCTTCTGAAATGAATAAAAAAAACTACTAAGCAAATCGGGTTGCATTACTGTAAGTAGTGTTGTGAAATATGCAGCCTTAAATGCTTGACAAGTGAGAAGGAGAGTGGCAAACAGTGTTGAGAATTGCGAGACAGTGTTTCAATGGATTAAGCAATGGAAAACAGTGTTAAGGAATGGGCGATTATTTGACGGTAAAAAATGTTGAGTAGTTGTCGGCAGTGTTGAGCAAGGGTTAAGTATTGCTAATAATTTATTCGATTTTGTGTCACGTACGCAAACACGCTGGGCGTGCAACTCTACTCTAGACTTTATAGACACCCGAACTCCTGAACTTTTCAGCTGTACATATTTATCATTTATTGCTTTGTCATTTGGCATTGCTTTCGGTTTTGCAGCAAGTTGCCAAAGCAGTAAATGAAGTGAAATGGCTCGAAAATGATGATAAAGCAAATCAATGTCTCTACATTCTCCATCTTTATCATTCACTTCTACTACTTTTTTTCCCTTTAATTTGTTGCAACATTGAAATTCTGTGAATGCTGCAACATTTAAGGACTTTACTTAGTTTCTGTGGCATTTCCATGCATCTCCATTTCCTTTTTTTTTGCTCTCGCCAAAGCATTTTAATTGCTCTTTTTAACAGCTAAAAATTCTTTTCCATGCTCGTAAACTGGTGTAAGAAATTGTTGTGGCAGCTTGTTTGGCAGGAGAGGGGCAGTGGGAGAAAGGGGTGTTTATATGAAGGCGTGTGACATAATTGGCGACCGCTGCGCTGAGCTGTTGGGGCTGTTAGGGCTGCAGGGCTGCAGGGTCTCGTTGTCAGGGCCATAAAAATGTGCAAAGTATTCAGTTCGCCGACTATGCTATAATGTATGAGACCCAACAGCCTTGGCTTGCCGCAAGTCAAAGAACTGAAGAGGTCGCGACCTGGCGATAGCTTTTATTTTTTAAGTATTTTTATTCAGCGTAACAATTTTGTTAAAAAGTGAACTTTATTTTGGACATTTTTATTTTCAGTTTATTTGGTTGAACTTTTCATAATTTCATTTTATTGCGCTCAACTTGGCGCGTAAATTTAAATGAAAAGTGATTTATTTTTTTCTTGTCCTCGAGCAACTAAAAGTTGCTTAAATTTCTTTTTTGAGTGCTCCTTTTTGTAACTTGAGTCTAGTAAATCATAGTATGGTAATCCGCTGGCTTAAAGTTAGTCACTTAGTTCATATAAAACCCAAGTTGAGGTATATTGTTTAGCCAACTGTCAAAACACGAAATGACAAGGGTATTTAGGAGAGCTTTAAAAATAATTTAAAAACAAAGTAAGCCCAAGGTAGGCGCATGTGTTTGAACGCCCTGTAATAAACTTACAATGAGCATATTAGTTTTTACCAATAATAATGCTTCAACTTGACTTAAAGGCAGCAATGCACATTCTGTTTGCTGTGGTACAATAGAAGATATACTTTGAAATATGCTATTTAAGATATCCCTTGTCAAAAACACAGCCATAGATTATCTTCTAGGTTTTATATTTCAAAATTTCAGGCATTAATTTCCAGCAAATACTTCTTTGTGAAATGGGCAGCAACTTTTGCGCTTTAAATTTGACTTTGTGTGTTTTTGTTTTTGGGGGGACACAATTCAATTTTGCGTGACATGGACAGGAAAAACG